TTTTTTTTTTTTAATGTACTCTGATGTCAATGAGCAGCTGTCATCCTGCTGGCATTTCAATTTCAGGTCGGATGTGCAGGAAATTGCTTTTATTCTTGACTCAAACTCTTCTAGGATGGGAATGATACCTGTGTTTTGGGTCTCCAACATGATACTACATAGTATATATTCAACATAATGCAGAGTGTGGTTAATGAGGTACTGTCGGAGCTCCTTTGGCCATTTCATGGAAGCATGGATTCAACAAGGTGCTGTAAACGTTCCTCTGGGAGGGTTGGTCCATGCTGACTCCGTAGTGATGCATTCATGCTCCTATCAACACATTCCACATCATCCCAAAGGTGCTCTGTTTGGTCGAGATATGACGAGTGCACGAGCTGAGGAAGAAAAACTGAGGTCACTGCCATGGCTCCTAAAACCATCTTGAACGGATGTGTGCATGTGAAATGGCATTCTTATCTTGCTGCATGTGTTCATTTCAACAAATAAAAGTGCACTGTCATGAAGGCCACATCCTGACCCTGTCACCAGCACATCACATTGCAAACCAGGATTTCTCATCTCCTCAGTCACCCAGCTCTGGTGATGTCTCGCCCTCATTTTCTTGACTGGAGTAGAAATTGGCATAGCCCTCTGCGGCTGCGGCCCATCCAATTCAAGGTTAAATGATCTGTGCTTTATAAAATGTCCTTCTGCGCACTGCTGTTGTACTGGGCTGTCATTTATTTGTGGCCTGTTAATTTGAACAAGTTTTGTCAGTCTCCTCTGACTTCTCTCATGAGCCACCGAGTTGCCGATTCTCAAAGCAGCAAGTGGAATCTTGAGGTGTCAAGTCTGCTTAAACGATCCCTTCTATTGTTTCTGTCTCAATCTGTTGTGAACTGTGAAGCAGAAACGCAGTAGAATCATCTTTAAAGGGTGTTACTTTGAACTATTGTAATTAGTTATCAGCATTGATATGTAGTCTTTCAATTCATTTGAACTCTCACTAACAAAAATGCAATGTGAAATTTAAAAACATAATCACACAGAACAAAAAAAATACACTTTCTGCTGCTTTCCAAAGAATCGCACTAAATCAATAATATTTCTAGGTTTTCTCGCCGGCTAGATCAAGGTTTAAAATTATGTTTATATTTCTTACTAGCTGCTTCTCAGTGCAGTTGAGCAGCACAATATTTGACAATTACTGTATCCAGCTTGAAGGAGTGATAGAAAAAAGCAAGATGTCTTCAGAAGAAAACATTGAGGTGTATATGCCCCCCAGATTGTTAACATGACCCCTTTCAGCAAATAACTCCACTCACATGCACACCTTTGTCGGGAAAAAAAAACAATTTTGCCCTCAGCTCTGCTGCTAGATGGATGTTTTAGTCTTGCAGGAAACTTGATACTGTAGTGCCCGACAACCCCAGGAGGAAAGCTGTCTGAGATGCTGGAAGTGGAGTGTCTAGAGCGAACAACCCCAGCAAACTAAAAGTCCCTTGAATCAAACGCCCATTTTAGCTTTCAGTTTAAGAGCAACTGAACTCCTTAACTTTACATGCTTTATAACTTTGCCTTATTTATGCGTGACCCACGGTCTGAGTCACTTAGCTGTTGGCTTAAATTGGAAGGTACCTCAGAAGATGGATACTGAGTGCATGTATTTCATCTTTATTGCAAAAAGGGAAGTGTGAAAAAACCCAAAGTTCACCCCATTTAGATTATATCATTCGGTGTCATGATCTGTCTTTTTCTAGAACAGGTGAAACGTGTGTATTTTATGTTATCGGTGGCTGTTATTTTTAAAAGGAAAGAGTAGGACGCTTTGTGGCTGTGTTGAGCAGAAAATCTACAGTGATGTAAGTCAGCTCTGTCATCCTCAGAATCCAGGATGACACATATCCTCTCATGGTTTTAAAACACTTAGTAACCTTTCTTGACATATTGGAGGGAAAGCGTCTCTGTTTCCAGCCACGCTTCCTGTGTGATCTGGTTGGTCCATCACAACTATTAGATGGTTTGCCATTTATTTTTGTTCATACCTTCATGCTGAACCATAATATGAAATATATCTACTTGATGGATCGACAACATATTTTATATTCATGTTCATGGTTCCCAGAGGATGAATCCTAATAACTTTGGCAATCCTCTGTAATGCCACCAGGAGGTTGTCATTTCGTTTTTTGTGTGAAATGTCTCAACAATTATTGGATGAATTGCCATCAAATTTGATACAGACGTCCATGTCCCTTTCCAGATAAACTGTAACTTCGGTTGTTACTTTCCATTAAGTCAAAATTTTAAATCTTGCTATGGCTTAGGACCAATTACCTGCCGAACTAATGCTATTCCCATCAGTTACCAATTATGGTAATTCTTTATCCTTTGTTGAGGTAAATGTTTCAACAAATGTCAGACATCCCTTACTCCTGCTGAGCGATCACAGGACCCCGTCTCTCCCGCCGGGCTGTTGATCAATTAGACAGACAGATAGTCAGACAGATAGATAGGCAGCCAACCAAACGGAGATATAGGCAGAATGATGATAATGCCGAGGCAATGTAATGCAGTGTCTATGTGGGACCCACTCCCCAACCTCAATCCATCCCCCTTCCCCACCATCACACACATGCACACAAATAGGCCTGAGCTTCTTTCTAATTTTAAAGATAAACATCACTGAGTGAAAACGGAATTGGAAATTAATCACAGCTATAAATTAAGTCACCTTTAGGGGTATCCTTCTCCCTCATCCACAGAGTTACAGGTAGCTGAAGTTACTCTATGTGCAGAGCTGCAGGATATAGAAGAATTTGAATGATGACAAATAGCATAATATGTTTTGCACACAAAGCAGGGTTTGGGGCAGATTTTTTTTTATTTTTTTTACAACTGTGAGCCACAGAGACACAGTGAATGGTGGTGATGGCAGTATGTGCCACACAATAAAGCTGCTTTCCATCGCTTTGGGCACACTTTACTGCTGCTCTTGATATCAGTATTAAAAGTGATTTGCAGCTCCGTATGTGGCAAGGAATCAAAACTTAATTTAGGCAGATAAAGATGCCATTTGGGAGGGAGATAAAGTGCTGCATCATGGGAGATGTGTTCCCCAGCCTGCTCTCAGCTCCTCACCCTCACTGCGCCCTCAGATTTACTAGCTCCCTTTTCCTGCTCCATAAAACAGCAAATCTGCTCGCCAGGCGACACAGGCAAATGTTAATGGATTCATTTGTCAAGAACCTTCCACTTATTTACAATCCGCTTCCATTACAGTCGCTCCTCCTGTAAGAGAAAAACCAGTGGCCAAAGTCAAAATATCGATTTGCCTGTCCATCACAATAGTGAGTCATCCTGTAAAACCACAACGCCATAGACAGTGCTGCCACCAGCAGTGTGTTTCAACATGACAGTTAGATCATCACAAGTTATTTTTGTGGATGGTGGATGATTATGTAATGTAAATAGACATACATATAATAAAATATCAGCGCAATTCATCAATTGCAATTTTTGAAATGAAAATAATTTAATTACCATCTCCATTATCTGCAAGTGATGTGATGAAATTACATTATTAGTCAGTGTCCCAGCGCTGAAATCTGTTTTCATTTGGGGGTTTTTTTTTGTGTCATGCCCACACAAAACTTCATTTCTGGTGTCAGGGAATATCTGTGAAATAATTTGCCCGCCTCACAGAATTAATGAACTTTACACAGCAAGGGATGATGTAAACATGGGGAATGTTTTATTTATTCAATATTTTTAGTGTGAGTCATGGGGTTTAAAATATTTTTCATGGGGTATGTCTTACTGGGAGAATGGTTTTACCAGTTTGAGCTGAAATAAAGTTTCTGTTTCTTCCATGAGAGAAGCTTGAAGGAGGGGCCGTTTGTTCTGACCACATATACAGTACAAAGAGTAATAAGGGTTGATTATATATTGGCATGCTGCAGCTCCTTAGACCGCCAGGGCAGCTCCAGTGTG